AAAAAGAGCTATCAAGCTATGGAAAGACATGGAAGAAACTTAAATGTATAAGAAACCAATTTGAAGGCTACATACTGTATGACCCCAACTACATGACACTCTGGAAAAGGCAAACTATGGAGAAAGACAAAAGATCAGTGGTTGCCGTGGGGTGGGGTGAGGGAGGGATGGCGGGGCAGAGCCCAGAGGATTTTAGGGCAGTGAAAATGCTCTGTATGGTATTACCATGCTGAATTCATGTATTCATGTATGATAGATTTGTCAAAATCCATAAACTATACCATACCAAAACTGTACCCTAAGAGGAACTTTGGGTTTTGGGTGACAATGACACGTCAGTGTAGGTTCACGGATTACAACAAATGGGTCATTGTGACATGGGATTTTAGGGAAGATCGTGCATGTGTGGGGACAGGGTGCTATGGGAACTCTGTACTTTCCTCTCAGTTTTGCTGTGCACCTAGAATTGCTCTAAAACATAAAGGTCATTTATTTACAAAAATTTCCTAAAATGAATATAAATTTCTCAGTTCTAACAACCCAAATCCTATCTAACATACCATGGTATCTAACACTGTAGGGTATTCATGAAGTTCATAGAATTTTTTAGTATACTCAAAAAGTATCTTTAAGAACATCCAGCCCTACTGGGTACAGTTTGTCTTAATATTTGCATTATAAAAATGCATACTTTCTAAAAATAGATAAAGAACCTGGCCAAGGAACTAACTGATGCGGTGCAGTAAGAGCAGCAATAGAGGTGAGACTGGAGTCTGTATCTCCTGGTACTGGTGGAAAACAGAAAAAAAAAATCTTGTAAGATTTAGAACAGGCAAAAGTAGGAACTAGCTTTACAGAAAAGCAGATAGTTCTGAAAAATTATTTAACTTATTTTTAATATGAGAAAGAATCAGAATAATTCTATTTGCAAATAACGCAAAATATAAACTACTAAACAGACACCACTGTGGTTTTTCTAAAGAAGAAATTATAGCAGCAAAATGTGTTTTTTTTCTTTTTTTCCCCCCTGAGAGAAGACTCAGGCCCGATGGATCATAGTAAATCAGAAGACTTTTCCTGGATATAATATTAGACCCCTTTAAACATTCTTGTGAATAAGAAGTGATTGGAATTATATTTCCACAACAAACTAAAACTTAAAATGTCGTATTTTGGTCATTTTTATGGGGAGAGTATCCACACCTTTTGTCAGATTAAAAAATAAGATACATCAATGACCTGAAGGGAAGTATTTTGAACATTAACTACAGGACTTTGTGGTCAAAGCTACTTTGTATTTTTGTCAACAAAATCAGATGAGAAAATACAATAATTTTAGCAGAATAAGCAACTGAACAAGGTTAAAAAAAAAGAATTATGTGGCTTACCAATAAATAGATACTAAAAACATGGTTATAAATTTGACCAATAAAAGTAGAATGGGGGTAGTTAAGGCAGAAAACATTCAAGGGTGATCAGGGGCTACTTAAAAAATGTAAGCTGGCAATGTTGAAAATTGAAATTGTACTGAGATTAACAGGAATACTAATTAAAGAACAGACTTTTGGCAAAATGGCACAGCGAGTTGATGTTAAGTGAACCTTTTCTCCCACAGAGATGTTGAATAAAACAAAACGAAAAATGCTTTAAAAATATATAGTCAAGCTAAAAAAAGAGAAAGAAAAGAAATCCTCAGGCACCTGAAATGAAAGAGATATCAAAATCAAAGCCAAAACAGTAAATGGAAGTTGAGACCGAGGTGGTCCATAGAGGTTTCAAACTCCAATACAGGCCCTGGGCTTGGAGGAGAAAGCATCAATGCTCACGTGGAGACTGGAAACATAGCTTCAGGCAGGTGGAGGTGGGGGAGTTGGAAATGAGGCGCTTGCACAAAGAGCCTCAATCCCCTATCCCTCCTTGAAATACAGTCTCAAAAATCCCTGCTCACTGGTTCCTCAAACAGCAATGCATATTGCTAATTATCTAGGCCTTGAGTAGGGGAAAAGGTATCGACAAGAAATCTAAAACGAAGGCCTGTGCCACGGAGGTGTAAAATCCAAATTCATACCCTGTATCATACAGGAATCTTCAGCTGAGAAATTAACATAAAAACTGGTCTTTGACATGCAGCAGAAAAAACAGAATACTTTCATAACCCTAGGCACAGACTCACACAGGGAAGAAGAAAAATACAGATAAGAGCTCACTATTACAAACCATATGAGGAAACATGAACGTGAAAGGTAAATCTACAAAAGCTAACAGTAGAAAATGTCAGAGGGTATCTTTGGAACGGAGGTAGGGAAACTTCTTAAACCAAAAGCTGTGAGAGAGAGAAGGGAGAAGGCTAAATTTGACTATATTGATTATTAAAGGTTTCTGTCAAAAGAACTCTGTAGACATAATTAACAGACAAATGGACAAATGGTAGAACTAGGAGAAAATGTTTGCAAAGTTTAAAGGCAACAAGGAATCAATACCTGGCATATTTAAGGAGTTCCTGCAAATGTTAGGAACAAAACTGAAATCCAAGGTGCAAGGGGGCAGCGGTGGGGAGGGGGTCAACGAGCGAATGACAGTGACGTCACTAGGCATCTCAGAGAAGGAGAGGCTTACTTAGTAACAACTATAGCAACAGTAGTTGTTCTAATAGCAGCTAACATTTATTGTGATGTTTATTATATTTGGGAAGTGCACTATATACTTTATTTATATGAGCTCATTTTATCCTCTTAACAACCCGATGAGGCAGATGCTGTTATTATTCCCTTTTCCTGACGGGGAAACTAAGGCCTAGAGAGGCTGAGTAATTTCTCCAAGGTCTCACAGTGCATGTGGTGTAACATGAATTTGCATGTAGGGTACCACTGGCAGGTGTACAAATTGATACAGCTGTTCTGAAAAAACATTCTGGTGACATTTAGTTACATTTTCTGTGCATGTATCTATATGCCTTATGAACCTGGAATCATACTCCTAGAGATATAGCCTGGAAAAATTCTCACATAAGGAAATATTGCCAGAAATCTCACTGGAGCATTGTTTGTGGTAGCAGGGAGATGAGAGGCAATTTAGGTTTCCATCACTAAAAGAATATAAGTACATGTGTAAGATGTGTATTATGGATTATAATGCATTACAAAGAAGCAACAAGTAGCTATTTAGACCAAAACATAGACAGATCTTAACCAGTGCTGAGTGGAAACCTAAGAGCCAGAATGAGACCTAGAGCATAACATCATTTATATACATAAGAAAAAATACGCATTCAAAACAATGCTATTTAGTTCACTGAGTGACATATGCAGCCAAAGACACTTTATTAAATACATAAGACTGGGTTCCTATGGGGGGAGGAAAGTAAGAGTAGGGGTTAGGGGTAAGGGAGAAAGATAAAAATCAAACAGGAGGGGCCTTGCCCAGATAGATATAGGAGGCTCCCTGCACCACCCCAAAATTTCAAAAAATGAAAAGCCATGTGAGGAAATGAATCACCAAGGAAGAAAATGGCATTCCCAAGAACTGAAAATCCTAAAAATTAGAGAATACTGTGAAAAGTGCTAAAACTGTTTCATTTTAATAAATATGAAGAATAAAGGAAGGTCATATGAAAGAAAACATAACATGAAAAAAGAATAGATAGATGTGGGAAAAAAACTTTTATGAATAAAAAATTAAGTCACCAAAATTTATCCATCGATGAATTAAATAGGTTAGATACAGCTAGAGAGAAAATTAGTGATTAGGAAGAGAAGCCTGAGAAAATTACTTGGAAGGTGAGAGTTAAAAAAAAAACAACAGAAATATGCAAGAGAGGTTAAGTGACATCAAAGACAGAATAAGAAGGTTGCACATGCACCTAACAGGTGTTCCAGATGGGGGTAATGGAGACCATGTGGGAAAAGCAATTTGAAGATGAAATTTCTGAGAATTTTCTAGAATTAAAGATAGACATGAGTCTTCAGAATAAAAACTTCAAAATACCAACAACACAGGGAAAAAAATGTAAGAAATCCAAGAAAATATACATTATAGGAGAATGACAATTGGACTGATGATTTCTTCTTAATAAAAACAAAAGTCAGAAGGAAATGGAATAAATTTTCAAATATTAAATAACAGTCAATCAAGTATCTATACCCAGTTTGGAAAAAAGTCATCTTTAGACAAAGATAAGAGACTCACAGACTGTCAATGAAAGAGTTACTGTAAGAAGGAAACCGAATCAGAAAGAAGGAATAGAATGTCAAAGATATTAAAGCAAGTAGCAAGCAAAGAAATTGCTAAACATATCTCCTAGAAAAGTTAAAATCAGAAAGACCGATAACACCAAACACTGGTGAGGAGGTGGAGTGACTAGAACTCTCATACGTTGCTGGTGGAAGTACAGGTGGTTTCTTATAGTAAAGAATGAACTACTGATAGAGGCAACAACATGGGTAAATCTGAAAAATACAATGTAAAGGCAAAGTCAGGCACAAAAGAGTACATACTACATGACAATTTATAGGTAACAGAAATATAGGCAAAATGAATCTACGGTGATAAAGGTCAGACAGTGGTGGTGGATGTGGTTGGGGTAGTGTGGGGAGGGGACTGAACAGAGACGCAACGGAACCTCCTGTGGGAGTGAAAATGTTCTACATATTTTGGATAGTCATTCAAGAGTAGATTATTTGTCAAAACTCTTCAAATAGAAAACTTAAGCTCAATGTACTGCATGTTAATTATATCTCAATAAAGAAGAAATTAAGAAATATGTTGGGGTACCGAAAATGCACTATTTAAAAATGGGTATGAGAAGCAGAGGTTAAAAACAATGTAGAATAATGACAACCACAGTACCTACCACTTATTAAATGCTTACTATGTGCCAGGCACTACTCTAAATGCTTTACGTATATTAACTCATTAGTCCTTTTAACAACTCTATGAAGTAGCTGTTTTTATTATCCCCATTTTATAGATAAGGAAACTGTGGCACAGAGAGGTACACTTACCCAGGGATACACAACTTGTCTGTGCAGAGTTAGGGTCCAAATTCAGGCAATGTGGCTCTTAGGTACTGCGACTTGGCTGTCTCCCTGAAGTGAAAAATGAACAACATGGAAGATGAAAGAAGGGAGGCTGGAGTTAGCGTGTTCCAAGGCCAAGAGGATGACAAAGATAATGATTAACTTGAGCCTTTGTTAAGTGATGCATGTTAACAGGTAAGGGCTAAAGGGGATAGAAGCAAAATAAATATTTGCAAGTAAGAGGCCTAAAAGGGAATGAAGAAAATGTGACTGAGCCAATAGCAAATGGGAAAAGGGGAAAAGGAAGGCCAAAAAAAAAAAAAAAAAAAAAAAGTGTAGTAAACAGAAAACAACTTAGGATGGTAGAAATAAGTCCAAATATATTAGTAATTACAATTTTTTAAAAAAGCAGATTCAATTTTCTTGTTAAAAGGCAGAGAATCTCTGGGTTTTTTTTTTTTAAAAAAGGGGGAAAACCCACTTATATATTGCTTAAAGAAGAATTAATGTGTGGGTGTGTTTACACTTAAAACAGTGCTTAGCACGTTTTAAATGCTACATGTTTTAGCTGTTATTATTATTGCCAAGAGAAGCTGTGAATCATTCTCATTAAATAGTTTTGAAACTAACCATCTGATATGACAGCTGAAGTATCTATCTGTAAATAAACAATTAAACTATATAGTCTTTGTAGACCCCATTCATGTACAGACTACTGTTATTAAATAAATCTAATATATAATCATGAGGGATACATTAGTGATTTGGGGGCTTCTGAAATACACTATAGAGGCTAAACTACGCTGATCTCACAACAAAAATGTAAAAGCCTCTAACATATTTTACTGAGTTTACCCCTAACCCCCTTTGCAAAGGAAGTTAAATGGAGGAGAGAGAATATAGCACTGGCTATAATGTCGCAAAAGTGTGCTTTTCAGAGTTAAGAAACTATAGTGTAAACACTGCATGTTGGAAATCTCTACGGGAATCCTGTAGATTCTCATACAGAGGCAACCTAAATCATGTTATTAAGCACTTACTGAAATTGCTAGGCTTGGGAAAATTGTCAAAGTTCCCAGGGGAAGAACATTTAAGCAACAAAAGAGCACCAGAGTGATGAATGGTCCTCAAAGGAATAATCTTAAAGCTTCAAGAAGAGACTATACTGATGTAGAATCAAGATATTTAGAAAGAAAAAACTTAAGTTGAACCAAATGCTGCATAAAGACCCAAAACACAAACGAGACTTCAACACAAAGTGAACTCTAGGCCAGCTTTCCAAAAGGAGCACAAAGAATGTATATTTTATCTATCTATCTGCCTACCTATCATCTATCTATAATTTTATTCTGTCTACTTACAAAAACTGAAAGTTTGAAGATTCTTTAAGTTACAAAGAAACAATCACACACAGAAGAAAAACCAGAAAATGCAAAAGAACTAAAGTCACAGTTGGTAGAAAATATGGAATCTCTTTAATGAACAAAGTGGAATATAAATGTACAGTTCTGATATGTATTGCTTAATTAAATAGAATAAATGTTCTGAAATCCACAACTGCTGGCAAATCCTTAGCAAAGCACTCAAACAAAGGCCTTTGCTGCCACTACTGGAGAGTGAGAGGCTCTCTTCTGTGCCTCAGGAACTGAATCTACTTATTCCCCATTCTCTGCACTTCTTTTCCCGTAAGTCAGCAATACACATATCAACCAATTATTATTTATGGAGTCAATGGCCTACTATTTATTCAGCACATTTCTAGGTGCTGTGTGGGAAGCAAGAGGTATAAAACAAGATCCTTGTCCACCGGGAGTTTGTAATAAAGTTGACCTTACACAGGAACGATCGAAAAACAGACCTCTTAGAAGACTCGATCCACAAGAGACAAGAGGAGGACAAGGAAGAAGAGGAGGGAAAAAACAGATGGATCTCAGGGAATGGCAAGGAAAGGGAAAGGGCTGGGGCAGGGAAATGGAAGGTAGGTACAGTTTCAACAGGCAAGGATGAAAAGGTAAAGAACTGCAGACAGAGAAAGCACAATGAACCCAGTTCCACCAGTTCCACCGGCATGTATGCTGAAAATAATGCATGTGCGGAGGCAATTGGCACTGCGCCTGGCATTTACTGGAAAGGTATCCAGTAAGAACTTGCCATTATTATTATGGACATGGCTGGCTAGAGCGGGTCTCCAAAAACACTCTTGGTACGAAGGAGTGAGGAGTACAAGGCTGCCTGGGTTAGAGAGGCAGAAAATGAGCAGAGGAACTTGTATCTACTTTGAGGGAGGAGCTTCTGAAATAGAAACAGCACAGTTAAAGCAGAGCTTTGCCGGTGGCAGGTCGATGGGCTAGCAATGGGAAGGAAGAACAGGCATCCTATATGTATTGTCTCCCACTGAACAACTGGAGTTCCGTGGGGAAGCTGCCCCACCTCTGCCTGCGTTTCTGCATGCCAATGTTCAAGAGATAAAAGTCTTTCTAATACTCGATCAAGGGTCCTCTATTCTGGGTCCCTTAACAATTGTGGATTCTACCTGTGGAACATCTATCTCAGGGTCTAAGACATCTCTCTTATGGTCTGAATTGATGCTATCTTACCTGGTTAAAGCCTTTGTTTGTTTGTTTGTTTGTCTGTTTGTTTGTTTTTACTGTCCCTGTCTCCTGAATAAAATTTTTACTTCCATCTTAATGCCAGGGCTCTGCTCAAACCAGAAAGCTGGGAGGGACCTTGCTGAGCCCTATTCATTGCTTTCAGCAAATAGAAGTTCATTACTTTATCTATCACGTACTAGTCTGATGACCAGATGACCTTAATCCAATCTCTTTCCTTTGTAGGGAAGGAAACTGAGGTCCTGAGAGGCAGAGTGCTCTTTGATCTGAGTCAGCTTTAACCCCATGGCTACTTAGTATCTCACAAACAACCAGAATCGGGTGAAATAACAGGCACTCTCAACATAATTAGAGCAAAGATCACACATTCAGAGACAAGAAATGAGGCATTTGCTACACACAAAAAGATGATTTAAAATGTAAGGTATGTAAGGAATCAGCTAAGTTAAAAGAGAACCAGTAGCAATTATTTCTGAGAATGCAAGGAGGATTGGTGAGGTTAGAAAAGGGTGACTATAGCTTTTAGCAGGCCCAGATTTCTCAAGTTCAAAAGCAGCTGTCATCTGGTCTCTTCTCTTACACTGAGGGCGTGAAAGGCAGCAATTTATAGTGTAAGGGATGGAGATTTCTGTACTGGATACTCCTGGGTTTACAGCAGTACCTTTTCATACATATTGTCATTGTTATTTCCACTGTTATCGTCACTACCATCATCACTCCGTCCCAAATGCTAGTCTACACTACTGTTCCGGCCCCTGAGAGCTGCAGCAACACTCGAATGACCTCTGTGCTGACCTAGGGCACATCCTGGTCATTGGGAACTCCAGGGAGCGAGGATAGCTCCAAAGAACTCCATTACTGAAGAGTCTAAAGTGGCTGGATCAGACATAACATCCACCTTTGGGTATTCTGGGGCCAGCGGCGGGGTGGGTGGCTGTCCAGCTGAGCTCTATGGCAGACGCCAAGGAGGGATGATGCTATGATAATAATGTCTTCCTCACCATCCCAGTCATTCTCACTTTACAGATGAAGACTAGGGCTCAGGGAGCCCAATGTCTTATGGACAAGAGTTAATAAGGGGCAGAAAAAAAAGGCCAGGGCTCAATTCCCAAGCCATGGCTGCTTCCTTTGTGATGCCAAGGCATCCGTGGATGCCAAGACTTAGCTACTACTTCCGCAGAGAACTCTCCCTTCCAAGAGCTCAGCAGCCATGAAGAGGTATAGCTGTCAACTCTTGGTCACTTAACAAGTACACTTACCATCTCACCCTGAGGGAACTGGTGAGTGAGCCAACCACATGCACTGCCTACTGGCCCAGGAGGCCATGCTTTTCTCAGTTACTAACCCACGTCTCACAGCAGCGTGAGTCCTAATGCTATTCTGCTCTCTCTTTTCATATTCTACCAAATCATACGGTTAAGCAACCACTAATAAGAGCTACTAATAATTAAGTACCTTGTTATGTTTCTAAGAACTTTTTACATGTTACCTCCTTTAACACTAACAACTTGGCAAGACAGTCAAACCCAACTTAAAATAAGTCCTGATAGTGAGGAAGGTAAGGAACAGGCACACGGTCACATAGCAAATCAGTCGAGAACCTGAGATTTGAATCCAGCTGGCTGATCCCTAAGCCCATGCCCTCTACCCACTAGGACAGTTTCTCAAACTTCAATGCGCACCTTAAGAATCACCTGGGGATCTTGCTGAAGAAAAGATTCTGATCCAGGAGTTCTGAGAAGGGGCTTGAATTCTGCATTTCTAATAAGCTCCAGGTGATATGAATGCTGTTGGTTCAAGGAACCTTCTCTGAGTCACAGAGGATTACAACACTATCTGTTCTCAAATGTCAGGTTTTTTCACATCTAATTATTACATAATGTTCTAAGCAACCCTTTACCTCTGAAGAGTAATGAGTCATCCTCAAATCCTTCTTTTTCCACCTGCCCTTGGCTCCGGCCTGAAAAACAAACTCCAAAATAGCTTTGGGAATAAAGCCTACAAAATATGGAGGATTCCAATAACCAGGCTCCATGACCTGGCACCAACCCAAACGCCTTTAAAGTGCATTTCAGCAACCCAGTCTTCCAGGACCAGCCCAGCTTCCCCGGCTGCTGCCAAAGTAACTGGAGGTCAGACTGCTCCTGATCAAGAGTCCAGTGGTCCCTGAGCATGGTTAAGTCTTGAAGGGGCATAGGATGGTACAGCCAAACGATAAATGTATGCTGAAATGAACACGGCAAAGAGATTTTGGCCATGACACTATAAATAACCTGCTGTGACATACTCTTTCTAGCTACCGTGCCATCAGTCTTCCCCCACAGAATCAGACATCTCTACTTATCTTCCATAGCCTCCTACTCAGATCCCCTCAAAATGGTATTCAGTAGCATTTCAAGGCCTATATTCTCTTTCTTAGCATAAAGTCTAAAATTAAAGATCAATATTATGTGCTTCCTTGACATTTCATAAAATCAGGAAAGCCTCAGAGGGCTTAATCACAAATTCCACCACCTGCTCTGCTCCCACGGACAACGTCCTGGAGCCAAACAATCTCTCCTATCAAAGCGGCCAGGTACAGTTCCTGCTTATCCTGGAGCACCGGGATTAAGTACCCTGACAGCCCCTGGATTTTTCAAATAAAACAATCACAGCCACCCCGGCTGGCGTGGCTCAGTCATTTGGGCATCATCTTGAAAGCTGAGAGGTCACAGGTTTAATTCCTGGAGGTCAGAACACAAAAACCCTATCCTGTAAAAGTCTCACAGTTAATTAGACTTGGGAGACTAGATAATACTGTCTAAACATGTAAGAACTATTGTAGAAATCAGAAAGTCGATTTATTAGTTCATTTACTAGTGAAATATATCTACTCCTTGCCGTTATCTGTTTTAAAAAAAAAAGGTAGCAAGGTCAGGTATCATTAGGAAGCTTTTTAGGAATCACAGAAGAGCCCTGGAGGGTGTGGCTCAGTGGACTGGGTGCTGGCCTGTGAACCAAAAGGTTGCTGGGTCTGATTCACTGCCAGGGCACATGCCTGGGTTGCGGGCCAGGTGCCCAGTTGGGCGTGTGCGAGAGGCAACCGATTGATGGTTCTCTCACACATAGATGTTTCTTGCCCTCTCTTTCTCTCTCCTGTCCCATCTCTCCAAAAATATAAAATATTTTTTAAAAAAAAGAACCAAAGAAGAGACTGTATGCTCAATTTACTGGAAGCATGGTGCATCTGTCTTTGCCATGAAGTAAATGCCTGGCCTCCAGACTGGGCAGGTAAAAGCCTAAGGGTCAACGTACACTGTGTGGGCAGCGTCAACTGCCTTTCTGTCTTGTCGCCTCGATCACCGAGTTCCTGGACTCTTCTGTGGCTCCAGTCTCTTCTTTGGTACAGCTGGACTCAGCTTTGTCCTTGGGGTACCCTCATGCAGGTACCTAACAGCAGTGACTGTGCGCTAATTTTTCAGTCCGTCTCTGAGAAAGTAGAGTAGCCTCCTGCCGCTCCTGTGCACAGGCTTTTCTGCGGGTGTTCCAAACGCCCATGTGCAGCAGGTGAGAGGGGAGGCGGCTGGGAGAATGGGATAGAGTGAGGAGGGTTAGGCCTCTCCTAACACAGATCTCTGGGCTAAAATCAGGGATTTCATTCAAAGCCCTCAACGCATTGAAAATTAGCAGGCGATACAAAGAACTTGTGAAATCACCTGGTCTGATTCCTGCATTATGTAGATGAGAAACTAAAGTGTTGAGAAATAAAAGTGTTTTTAAGACTTTCCCGTTAACTAATGACAGATATGAGACTCTCCCTGTTACCCATGTCTGAGCTATACATTCTAAATGGGAAGCAATGAGGAAGACATTTGGAAAGGGAAAAAAACACAGTTTGGAAGGGTTAAGGTAGCAACCCAACAGTATGCAGCGAACATTCACTATGATATCCCTGGCAGCATGCCAAGAACTTTGCATGGCTGGTCTTACATAATTTTTGCGAAACCTGTGAGGCAGTTACTATTCTTAACTACACTTTCAACTGAGGAGGTGGAGGTCTAGAGAGATTAAATGACTCGCCCCAAATCACAGAGCCAGCGAGCGGCAAAGTCGGTAAATGAGCCCGCGCCGTCCTCCTCCGGAGCTGGAACCTTTACCGCTGTCCGGTGCCCAAGCCTGAGAATTTAAAAAGCAGTTAAGCTCTTGATCCAGACTCTCTCTCCTACTTTTTAAGTAACTTCTTTGTTCACGGACACTGCACAGATATACAGTAAATGAAGTGATTGCTAAGGAAGAGCAGGTGACATTATTTAGAATTTACTTAGCCTGTGCTGTATGAGGCAGCGTACACACATTTCTCAAGCCACCGACTTGTCCCAGGCTACACAGATGGTAACAGCGCCGCTGCGGGATGTGAAGCCCACGCAGCCCCAGCACGACTCCCGGGCCCAATTTCCCAGCCTCATCAGTAGACAGTGTGTCTGGCAGATCTTTACTGAGCTCGGCCAAGTGCCCTTAACGGTTTGACACCGTACAGAGAAGAAACTCAGCATAATCCCTGCTCTCGAGGAGTTTATGCCACACCTGGGAGGCAGACACCAGCTTAAAACCCTTCTTTTCTTGCATGTTTGTAGTTAAGGAGCAGAAGTGCTGAAGAGACTGCGAACCGCCCGCTCCGTGCACCGCTGTCCGTTCACACGGCGCAGCGCGCCCACCTCTGTGTACACTTCAGAGACGAACTCCATGCTCCCCTCTTCCCAGTGCTGTAAGCTTCTTTTGTCTTTGAAGACATGGGACTTATTTTCATCTCTATCTTTCTGTCATCCATCGCCAGGGAGTATGACAAGAGGGTTAACTTAAGAAACTAAAAAAAAAAAAAAAAGTCTTTGGGAAAGAACCTACAGGACTCTACAGTATTTGCTCAAAAATGTTCAAAGGAAGACATGGAAAATTTCATCCTCAACAATTTGCTGCCCGGGAAAAAAGTCCAGAACTATAGAAGCCAATTAGTCTGCTGTCTTGGACTCTGACCTTAGAAAGTCTCGCCCTCTAGTTTGAATCTGACTGGGACTGAGGGTGGCTGCCAGCACAGTGCCAGCTCTATGAGCAGCTAGTGCCTGAGTGGTCAAATTTAATGACTGCCAGGGCTCCAGAGCAACACTCAGAAGTTAGAGTGCCACAGCAGTCTACGGGCTGAATGCATAAGGGCAGGAAATTTCACTGGTATTTAAATTTATAAGTTCCTACTATGTTCCTAACATCATGTTAGGAGCTTGAAACTCAAAACAATGGCTGAACTCATGGCACCGGAAAACGAACCAGCCAGTATGAGGCCCACTTCACTCTTTCTCCATTAACTCAAGCCAGTGAAAGCGGGGTGTTGGCGCCAACCTGACCCCAAGCACTGACCAATGCGAGCCCTAAAACAGGGATGGCAGTTCTAGGTTATGAGGCCTGGGTCATTCACAGGAGTCAGAATATGCTCATACCCACTGTCCTAGATTGTCACTGAGATAAAAGTCTCACCCTGGCCAGTGTGGCTCAGTTGGTTGGAGCATCATCTCATAGACCAAAAGGTCATGGGTTCGATTCCTGATCAGTGCACAAACCCAGGTTGCGGGTTTGATCCCCAGTTAGCGTACATACAATAAAGCAATCAATCGATGTTTCTCTCTCACGTTGATGTTTCTCTTTTGCTCTCTCTCTCCCCCCACTCCCTTTCTCTCTCTCTGAAAGCAACGAAAAAATGTCCTCACGTGAGGATTAAAAAGCAAAAATTAAAAAAAATTAAAAAAATATAAAAGTGAAACCATGTATGTACTAGAAGAAAACATTAATGAATTCCTCATAAATTGAGGGTGAGGCAAACTTTCTTACTCTGACTCAAAATTTAAAGTAATACATACACTGTAGGACTGATAAATATAACTATATAAGATGTAAAACTTTTGTACAGCATTAAAGCATGTAAAGTTAGGCAGATGACAAGTTGGAAAAAATATTTTTGCAACTTATATCACAGACACTGGGCAGGTATCTTGCATCTCAAAAAATGAGACCAATTTAAACTATACTGATATGTTATTTCTTACCTAATGGACTGGCAAAAGCCCGAAACTCTTGACAGCAAGACTCAAGAGGAAGAGGGGTCAGGAGTGAAATAAAACTTTCTGTGAATGTACTTTGTTATCTTGTTTTGATTTTGGAACCATGTAAATTGCTAACATAATTAAAAAACAAAATTTGACTTTTAAAAGCAATTTTTTAAAGTTTAAAATAAATGAACCTGTTTATCAAGTTGGTGGCATAACCACACAGAGATAACAGTTACGAGTGACTTTAGGATGGTATTTGACTATACATCTCAAGCAGCATATAGTCTCAGGACAAAGGAACCACACAGAACTAAAGCAACATCCAGTAACCTAATGGCCAGTGTAGATAGCAGCATCGCCACTGGCCTGGTTCATAACATGGCCAGGGAAATCCAGCAGCCTCAAAGCCCAGAGTGTGGGCCACACGGCCTGCAAGGATGAGATTCTCTGGCCCACTGAATGCTTACCACGGCGCAAGCAGAAGCGTGAGAGCGGAGTGGAGAGGGTGCTGGGATGAGGCTTGAGAAGGGCGCAGCCAGCGCGCTCGTGGGTAGCACACGCCGAGCCAAGGAACTATCCTGAGGGCAGACAGTCTTTCCAGAATTGTAAGCTTGGGACTGACATGTTTAGATCTGTGCTTTATAGAGATCACTGACAACAGTGAACAAAGCATGTGGAAGAGGAACAAAGCGGGAAGCCAGCTGATCGACTAGAAGGTTGTTGCAGTAACCTAGGACACGAGATTATAGACGCTTCAACCAAGA